CCACTGTTTTCCTTCTTTTATGAATAGATGGCTTTTTATCATCCGAGATTTCAAAATAATTGTTATCAGTAATAAAACAAGTGAAACCTCCGCTAGCCAATCTAAGCTGAATGGCTAAATGTTTTCTTTTGTGATAAAAATTGTGTAAGCAAAGCTACAAGTGATTAAAAACAGTATTGGCATTAAAAAGGACCAAAGAGTGAAATTTGGGTAATTTTTAATGTTTTTTTTTTAAATAATTTGCCTATGAAACACTGCATTTTTAAAGGGAATATTTCTTAACAAACAGCTCTTCTGTTTGAATGTTTCCTATAAACATTGTGGATGTTATTCAAATAATGGGTTTATGGCATTCTTAAATAGATGGAAAAGCAGTCATTGTAATGTAATCTAGAAATGTACAGCAATGCAAAAAAGTCCTGAAGGAGCTCCTAGAAGATAAAAATGTGTTAGAAGAGGTTTTAAGAAAGAAATTTAGGCTGCTCTTGTACTATTGCGTGTAGCATCACATGGATAGATTACAGGTTACTGTAGTTACATGTGCAGTTTTGAGGTATCTCAGTGACCAAACTAATGCAGTTTTAAAAGTTTCACAATCTGGTTCTGTGAACTTTGCATTTCTGAAAGGTATTCTGCAAAATTTGAAAACTCTTCAGCTTATCTCATGCAGTTTCTTCTTATCTTATACAATCTTATTTCAGGTCTGAAAATGTCACAGCAGCACTCGATGATGCCTATTTTTGCAATTACCCTTTCTCCTTTAGAGAGTTCCTCTACCTTTTTTTTTTTTTTTTTTGATGGTAGAATATTCATTTCTGATGAAGAATTCAGCATATGTGTAGATGTAACTCATTTCTAAAAAACTTTATGTCAAGACCTCTGTTCATCAGTTTGTAGCCTCCAATACAGAGTGACAGTAAACTCCAAGGATTTTTCAGATTTTGAAGGATATTTTTCAGCCTCGAAATAGCCTATAAAGCTAGACTCTATTCGTGAAAAGTGTACAGGCATAATAAATATTGCTTAGTTATGGTAGCTAATGTACAACAAAATTTTACTGTAAAGTATATCTAAGTTTGGGCAAAACTGACACTTGAATTTTGTATGTTTTAGCATCACAAGAGACTGAGGTCTGATCAAGATGTTGGTTGTTTCTTTTACCAACTTTGTTTCTGACCAGGCAAATTAAAATAGTCACAGAGAGCTGCAGATTTACTTCTGTGGCAATAAGGAAGAAAAAATTACAATCTTGTAACAATCACCAGAGACAATCCCTTATGGATTAAAATCACACTCACATTTTTTTTTCTTCTTTTTTAATCTGCTCCATACTCCCAGTCTTCTTTGCATGGCAGATAAGAACATCTATAAGTGTTTAAGGATGTGATTTTGGGGATGTCTCCAAATATCCATTCTCCAAAGATGCCTTTGAAAAATCCCAAGCTATTTCATTTATGTATTTTTAACGCTATCTTTGGTGTTATAGAGAAATTTGTTTTTCAGATTCCTTCTTTCCTTGGTTAAAAAATAATTTATTTAGAATTTATATCACTTGCACCATCTTAGTGTCACAGTGACCTTACTGATATAAAAACCTCTAGTGTCAAAATAATACAGTTTTACAACTGTCTTCTCTAACAGTCCTAATTAAATAGTGTCATAACATCCCCATAACCCAGTCTAAACACATTTGAGTCCAAAAAGTTAACACATGCAAGGCTTTTTTTCTCATATTATTCAATTAAAAATGAATTCCCCTTCCCCAGTCCAAAGCAAATCATTACACATCACTCTCAGTGGACCAATTCCTTTCTATTTGCACCAGTACAGCTGCCAGAAATCTCTTAATATGGTAAAAAAAAAAAAAAAAAAAGAAAAGAAAAAAAGAAAGAAAGAAAAAAAAAAGATGTAAAAGGCAAGCAGTCTTCAAGTGTGAAGCACCATGAGGACCAGGAAGCAGGAGCAATTAGGGCTCCCTATGGGCAGACAGGGCCTGCCTCTCTGCACTAGCCAGAAGCAGAGAGCTGGGGGCACCAGGACACCCAAGCTGCAGGCACCAGTACCTCCCTGGGGATGGGCTGATATCAAACTGAGAAGTCGCATGAACCCAAGCAGACCAACCTCAATGAGGAGCATGCTCTCAGGGCCCTTTCACTGAGATCCAATGTAGCACTTAGGTGCTGCAATCCAGGAGGCGCATGGAAAAATAACTGCCATCTCTGAAGTAGTCCTTCCAATGAAAAATCCCAGCAACCATCTCCTAATGTGGAAAAGGTGACAGAAACCAACTTAGGGCAAGTAGAGGCCAAACTGTTATTTGCAGTTTTACAGGACAGAAGCTAAACACTAACAGAAGTTGGTCAGTGACAGTATAAAGACCCCAATAAACCACCTGAGCATTCTAGTTGGTGGTGTATAGCATTGTACATTTCAGGTTTTGTGGCTTTAAATCGCCATGAAATACACAAATAACTGAGACAGCAGACCTCTGATTCGATCATAATATATATGCAGAAGTTGCTTTGTTATTCATGAGTGAAGAAGAAAGTTGGAGAAAGAGAATCACAAACAAGAAGATAGCAGAATACAAACCTAAGGATCTCAGCATCTCATAGGTAATGAAAACAGAGTCCAGAGTGATGGGAAAACTTGGGGAAATAAATTCTCAGAATGTGAGTATAAGAAGCTGTAAAAAAAGGGAATCATCTGCATAGAGGACTGTATTGGAAAGACTGGAAACAATGTGTATCCAGTGGTTTTACAGCTAATCCACCAGGATGTCTAGAGAGATCTAGTCTTTCTAGGTTCACACAACATATTGACTATTTTTCACTAGACAGCAATTACTAAACTATTGAGTGCTCACATTAATATATGTGACATGACAGCATACAGACGCAGTTTCCCCATCCACGATTTCCTCTGGTGTGTGCTGGAGTAAGCTACAACAGGAAATGAATAAATTGCTTTCCACGTTGCTTTCCCTGCTCTCCACACCATAGAAACTGTGAAGTGTAAGCATGTGAAGTGCAAACCTGTGAAAGCATAGATGGGTCTGTGTGCATGCCTGAGTATGTGCGTGAATACAAGGGAAGCAGAGTAGATGATTTGTGTTTCCATGCTGCAGAGCCGAGTATTTTGCAAACACTCCTGGCTGATAGGAAACTCAGAATAAGTATACTATTATGGCACAGGGCCCAAGCTGCTATGGTCTTCAGAGCCATGCAGCACTGAGTAAAGATACCTGCCTACATCATCAGTAATGTGGGAGTGCAGTTTTCCACTGGGTTGTGCAGAGATGCCATAGGTTACTATGCTGATAATCATCAGATTTTCAATGTTTTTGAATTTCAGAAGACTAAATGAAATAAACAAGTTGCAGGTATCTAGCAGACGTATGACCTGCCTTCTAATGTTCAGCCCAGAAATACCTTTGTGAGATCAGTTTCGATGAGGGCTGCTCCAAAAATAATGCTTCCTATTTTATTATGTTGGCCCACGACGTCAGAGGCAGGTGGTGGGAGTACAGCAGTAGATCAGGCATGTTCAATCCATGGCCCACTGGCTATATGAGGCCACTCCCTGCCCCCACACCATCATGGAAGTGGCTCCTCTCTGCCAAGCAGCCTGGTCAACCATATATGTGCACCCATCACTCAGCAACAGTTAGACATCAACATGTGATAGATGTCATCTGGGCTGAAGCCAGGGCACAGGGATGGAACAGCACAGTGCTGACTGAAGTTATGGCGAACAATTTTATGCATTTTGATACATTGGCTGAAGTCCTGTGAACAGTGAAAAATACGCAGCTGTGCTTTCAATTTTGATAAAGGAATTTGAGAAAAAGTTTCAAGATTGCTGAAAAAAAGCACTTTTTTGGTACATTTGCAACTCCATTGTCAGTCAGCATAAATACATGACCTGCAATTTTTCATATAAAATCTACAGAATTGCAGTGAGGCATTCAACTCAAAAATTTGACCATGTCTCTTTACCAGACTTCTATAAACCCTATCTTATGAGAGAGAAATAGCCTGCACTTCACACCTTATTCATGTCATGCTTTTTGGCAGTATATACATCTGTGAACAAATGTTTTCAAGGATGAAGCACAGGAAAAATAAAATTTCATCAAAAATCTGCCATGAACACCTGGAGAACTCACTGAGAGCTGCAGCCTCTGCCGTTAAACCAGGCTGATGTGTTCATTTCACCAAAATGAAGGTCTCAGATCCCACTAGTTTTAGGGTTTTGTTGCTCTTCCTTTTTTTTCTATTTTTTTATGTTTCAACAAAAAACATGGAAAAATAAAATAAATTCTGTTGCTTATGTATATTAACTGATGTTGAGGGCTGATCTGAAAGTAATGCCTACTATTTAATTATGTTGGCCCACAACATCAGAAGCGACTATTGGTGGTATGGCAGTAGAAGTGAAACCTTCCCATCAGAGGGGCAGTCTGACAAAATGGTGTCTGACATATGAAGCAGAAGGGTTCACTTTCATAATTTGATGAACATTTTCTATTCATAGCTCCTCTTTTATTTGACATGGATGCACTTAAAATTGGTTTAAAATAATGGGAAAAAAATCTCACAGTCATCATAGAAGTTGTTATTGCTAGCTAGCAAATTTTTTGTGCATGTGACCTAATTGATTTCTTTTGATGTATTTCTCTGGGATAAGCATTAGCTTGTGAAATGATTAAAACCTTCAAACAGGAGCTACTTGGGAATAATCTACATGGAGGAAAAAGCATATCAGTGAGTCCTATCTGCCTTCACAGTAAATGCATTAAACTTAAGTGCTCCATCCAGTTCCTTGCTGAGATTCTCAAGTGCAGAATTTGTCACCTCGTTTCAACAGTCTTGCTTTTTAACATAGCCTACTTAAAGATACGTCTTTCTTTTTATCAGCACACACTTTCAGGTAGCATATTGAATAGATTGATGATATGGATTTCCAGAAGGAAAAAAGGAATGAAACCTGTCCCCATTCACAGCAGTTCCAATTGAAGGAGATATGCTGCAGCTGTGCAACAGGCCAGCCCTCTCCTTGACCTCTTTATAACAGTTAACAGATCACTACTTCTTTATAACAGGTGGTGCTAGAAATTAGTCTGATATTAGTCTGGAGGGAGGTAGGGGAGCTGATGGTAAAGATGGTATGTGGGGAGAAGGGTGTTGGTTTTTTTTGTTTGTTTGTTTTTTCTGTGTGTACATTTGCTTAAATATGGTATTGATTTTTAGTTGCTGCTTATTTGTGCTGCTGATGGAGGCTGCTTAATGTATCAGCTGAGAAGGTGAGAAGCTTCTTGCTGTGTGGCTCCTCTAGGTGTCCTGTTACCTTCTTTGATTTCTGAGGATCTATCAGAAGTTACTTGTGCTGCTGGTGGTAGTCTGTAATCTCAGTTCTGTGTTCTGCAAAAGTCTTGGTGCTGCTTATGCTTAAATGTAGCTCTTCCTCCTGGCATGTGTTCCACAAGAACGTTATTGCTCTATTTATTTGTTTGTTATGAACCAGCCTGATGCCTTTCAGGAAGGTTATGAAAGTATGTCTCTTGAGAAAGCTGTAAGGTTGGTTGTACTGAGTGCTGATGGTTTTGTTCCTTCTGGGAATGAGGCCCATCTTCTTTCTGCTCTAGAGATAGATGCAATCTGCATGCTGCAGTTCTGAATAGGAATCTTGTTGCTGTATGTTGTATGCCTTCTGTAGATGCTACGTTTACTCTGTTGGAAGGCCTCCCATGCAGTGAAGTTTGGTTTGAGGTAGGGGTACTAAACCACCATCCCACTTGTGATGAGCTGCCGGGCAATGCTCTGTTGCCCTTTTGCCGTCATCTTTGTGCCCTGCCTTGCTCTTATCTAATATCTTTACCAAGTTCTTTGCTGTGTATGCGTATGAGAGAAGAACTTAGTTGTGAGGCAGTAAAACAAGCTCCTGGAAGCTGTTGTGAAGCTTTATGTGGCAGGGAAGGTGTTAGGGTGATGATCAGTTTTGTTGCTTGATCTTGCATAACCATTTAGAGGGAGATACTGAAATGCTGCTAAAGGGATATAGAGGAGAGATTCTTTTCTTAATGAGAATAGTTCAGAAACACATGTCTTTTAAGCTAACTGCCTCTATCAAGCTATTTCTGCCTAGAAGATGTAGAAGCCTCTGGCTATCTGACAGGAACAACTGTGGATTTCTCAATGTCTTCTTGAGAAAACCAAAATTCATCAACCTGTCTCTGTTTAGGTGATCAGAGGAAAAAACCCTATTTCCACTGGGGGTAGAATGAAATGAAGATAATTTGCTTGACAAATCAATTCTTAAATTATTAACATAAGCAACCATTAAAAAATCTTAGAGAGGTGAAAAAGGCTCCAGAGCTGGACTTTGGAATGAACTTGGTGCCATCTTGTATGCTGTCATGTAACTTTGGCTCTCAAAGGTTTGCTGATGCTTTCAGAAGGGGGAGTACTAGTACCGTGTGGGATTTGTACCGTGACTTTGTAGTTGAAAGACTAAATCTTGGACTTCTTTCTGGGGATAACAGAGACAGGAGTATGTGCAGAATGTTGAGAAGATATTCCCAAAAGCCACGTAACAGGAACAGTGAAAAAGGGAGGGCTACATCTTGGGCTGTTATGTCCCCTGTGTATGTTTACTGTGAATTCACCTGAAATTCCTAGCTGAAGCTGCTGCTGTGTACTTAAGTTGCGTAGTCTTTGTTAAACATTGGAGTGTTCTATATCAGTGAGTTTACAGCACGTTTTTCCAAATAGAAACTGAGTATTTCTGCTGATTGTTTTTCCTTGAGTCCTGTTTTGTGTCTCTTGTGATTAAAAGCTGCTGTATCTATACATTTGATAATAGAAAAATTATTCCCTTACATAGTAGTCTTTACTTAAATTGAAGGAGCTGCACTGCTGCAACTCAAAATAATTTGACCTACAGTATTTATGGATGGGTTCACAGTGATGGCTTTGACTTCTATTTACTTTGTTTTCTGTGAGACGCTGCTTTTTTTCAGGGGTAATAGGCAGAATTTCTTCAGTGATTTTTTTTTTTTTTTTTTTTTTTTTGTCCCATACCATACAACAGTAGGTAAACTGTTCTGCTGCAAGGATGAAAAAAAATAAATGTAAACACCTTAGAAAATCCTGTGTTGATTAGAGACCTTAACTGTAGGAAGAATGTACAATATTCTAAGGAGGCTGAAGGTGAAACGTGCATCTCCTGAAATATAGATGTCTTCAAGAAAGATAATGCTTTCTCATTTGCTTATTTTAGGATGATGAGAGTAAATGCTTCTGAATGTTTTATTAGAAGTGGATCCTTGGCAACATTCACCAGCCTCTTAAGTTAGTAACAGATGATATCCACGTCCAACTGGCCCCTGAATGTATGAAGCTCTTACCTGGTTGAGAACAAAGGCACTATTGTTAGTGATTTACTGATTCTTGGACCGAGTTCACTAGTTCAGGAAAACACTAAGACTGTGTCCATGGAGCTTTTCTATTAATAGACTCTAGAAAGGATAAAACAAGGATAAAGTAGTAAATTGTTTCTTAGTAGATAGAAAAAAATCCTGAAGCTGAACATTTTCAGTGTAATTTCTTTTACTTGTCCTGAACCATGCTAACTGAAATGGCATAATTAATTTGCAACTTCCCTGGGCAGGCTTACAGTTCATAAAATAAGTAAAAATTTGTAGTGATGCCTGGCTTTTAGCAATAGGAAATTGCAACATAAAAACAATGAATTACATGCAAGAAATATGGATAGAGACATCCTCACCTGCTTCCTATTTCTGAGTGTTGAATTTGCATTTCAGAGAAGGCTTCAGTCATGAAGCAAGGTGATTCATTGTACTCTGGTTTTCAGTGGGTGCGGTGTGTGTTGCTAGTGCTTTTCCCTGTAAATTTTAACCAGTAGCTATTGGTTGGGTCAAAAACCTGGTGCACTGATCTTGCGTGGGCACTTCCAGCTGCTGATTTTTGGAAGGAAATGTTTGTGAGTTACCCAGTCCTGAAAAAGGCATGTTTATTTGTCTTTACTTTATCCTGATGAATATGTCTTGTAAATACACTGACCAATCTAGCCAACAGTTTATTGACTTTAGTGAGTTAAATGAATTTAAACCACAAGCTGCAAATCTCTTTAGCTCTATCTGCTAGGTAGTTATTTGCACAGAATTATAGCACAGTCTAGGGAACGTTGTCAACTTATTAGCATAAAATGGTCAGATCTAAAGCATTACTTTCAGTACTGCTGAATAAAAGTACTGCCACTAATGAACTACTTCTAGAAGCTCCAGAAGTCTGTCCATATACTCTTAAGATACAGCTGGAGTGGCAAAGAGTAACGTGGCCTTCTTGGAAACTGCTGACACTTTTCCATTTATTTCAGTTCTGATGTAAAGCTTTTAATCAAGCTGAGTGTTAATTAAAGCTCTGAATGAAATATAGATGAATTTTTCTATTCCCGTTTAATGGAAATAAAGTTACCTCCAATATTCTAACACTTAGAAAAAGGTACTAATAGTCAAATCAGTAAACAGAATTATCCAGATAAAACAAAACCTGTGGTTCCTGCCTGCATAATAAACCTGTTCTATACTGAAACTGAATAACAGCCACTGAAGCCACTGAAATAATCTGACTTTTTTTCTGTAAATCTGTTAGTATACTTGTTTTTGATATGAGAATTGGAATATGAGTAGGTACTAAAACAAATTTCCTGGGTACTCCCTTGCTAATTCGACCTTTAATCAGATACCCTATAACTAAGTTTATTCAATTATCTTTCTGTCTCAGAGTTTCTTGGTGAAGTACTCCAAAAAGGAGGTTGTAGAAGGGCATATGAGTTGTATAAGAAGAAATACCTTCTCAGTTCATGCTAATTCTGAAGGTGTAGAAGCATATGCAAGTATACACAGATTGATGCATCAGATTTCTGTATTAAAAAAAAAATCTTTCCAACTTGTGAAAGCATTGCATTCATTGTTTGTGAAGAGCAAACAGCATCTGGATGTGACAAGTGTTGCAGTGTAGGTCAGTGAAGCACTGATGTTTTCTACCAATTTTGAATGTTTGGAAATGCCTACATCTTTGCTGGGTTTAATAGTCATAGAATGACCAGGGTTAGAAAAGACTGCCAAGATCATCTAGTCCAACTCTATCTACTACCACCATTTCCTCACTAAAACTTGTCCTTTAGTATAACTTATGAGTGTTTGTTGAACACCACCATAGCTGGTGGCTCAGCCATCTTCCTGAGCAGCCTATTCTAGTATCTGACCACTCTTTTGAAGAATAATTTTTTTCATAACATCGGTTCTTCTAATGAATCCATTGCTGATGTGAGGATTCATTTTCTTTGTGTTTAATGCTCAGATGTCAATGTGAAATAGTATTATTTTGCCTTGATTCAAATATGTTGCTTTGTCACAAGATCATCCTGCACAGTCAGCTGAAATCTGTTTGTATTCTAGTGAATAGTGCTTTTTTTTTCTGGCTAACATGAAGATTGAGGCTGAAGATCTGCTTGGGAGTGTGGCTGTAGTAAATGCAGTATTGTTATTACTAATCCAGGGAAACCTATGGAAATAATGTAAATGGTTGAGTGGGAGCAGGTGGGGTGGATATTCTTAAATTGGGAAAAGACAAATTACTGATTAATTATGAAAATGTGGGATAGAGTCAAACATCTTGTATGTGTAAGCACTACTACTGAGCATAGAGCTTGAATTTTGCAATTTATGTCCATTTTTTCAGTGTTCAGTTTTGTGCTTCCAGGTATAAGAGATGTGGATGTATGGGAAAGAGTCCAATGAAAGGCCAGGAAAATGATTGCGACAGAAGCATCTCTCCTATAAGGAGAGAGAGCTGGGATTACTTAGCACAGAGATGAGTCTTAGGGGTGATCTCATCAATAGCAGAGAGGATGGAGGCAGGCTTTTTCCAGTGGTTCTCTGTTCCAGGATGAAATGGATGCAGACTGGGACACAAGAGACTGTCTAAATATCAAGAAGTACTTCTTGAATGTGTGGGTGACTGTGCAGCCAGTTCCTTGGAGATCTTCAAAAGCCACCTGTGGTCCTGTGTATTCTGCTCTGGGTGTCCCTTGAGCAGGAAGGGTGGACATCCAGATCCCATCCAACCTGAACTGTTCTGGGATTCTTTTGTACTGTTTGCTGAAGAACAGAATCCAAAGTTGCATGACTACAGTGCTATGAAGGCTGGATTATCACAACTCAGAGTGAAAGGAGAAATGAAGGCTTATTTTACATGGTCCTGAAATTTCTGAATTGTT